TAGACTGATTAATGCGAGGAGTTACCAATTTCTTTCATTGGTTTGTCTCTTACAAGCGGGTAGTCATCCAAACTCATTTAAACTTTTAAATTGATCGCCCAATTATTTGGGGTGGTACCTCGACCTTGCTGATCTGTCAAAAGATTTTTGACCTCAAGGTTGGCTGTCTTTTTGCGGTTTAGGTTGTTCTGGTTCATTTAACGCCATTTTTCCGGCGACAGCTGAAAAGCTTTGATCGGTAACTTCATTTACACTATTTTTCAAATAAATTTTTATTAATATTACTTATATTGCTACCTAAAGTTAAAATCAAAGCTTAATAATTATTAAATAGTTGGAAGTTGTCTATGATTTTCTTTGTTCTTTCTCACTACTTAAGATTAAATAATATTTCATTTACTTTAGACCACATGGTCAGTTGCTGTGCTAATTTTTTATAAGTTGTTATATGTTGTTAGTTACTTGATTGTTTATACAATATCGCCGTATAATATCCATTTACTTGAGTTTCATTCACATAATTGTAAATAACTTTGACTGCTACATGTCTTTTTAAGGTAACAATTATAACATCGTTTCCATGACTGTGTGGTTCTCATATTGTACTTTTTAGATGAACTGATGATGCTTTCAAAATACGAAAGCAAAACGTCTTCAAAATAGATAAAGTACCCTATCAACTTTGTCTTTTATTTCTCCACCTTGAGACCGATATAAGAACCCACCACTCGTCTGAGTGATCCTTATATATATTGGATTGACGGTCGTACTCCTTTCCGTATATATATATATATATATATATATATATATATATATATATATATATATATATATATATATATAGCGATTGTAACACAACGAATGCATTCAAACTCTTGACAAAATATACATCAAACCAAACAATACTATTCATGCTCGTCACATACTAACCACTAGACGACAATAGACAGATGAGTCTATCGATTCTTCCATGCAAACTTTAAAACAGTTAGCAAAAGACTGTAATTTTACTGCTGTAGATGGGAAAAGGTGGGGAGCCTTGAGACAATTTTTACGTGGACCTCATTTTATTTGTGATTATGATTAATACCTTCTTAAAAAAAACTGTAACTCTAATGCAATTTTGGCTTTTATTTAGTGAAGCCCTAATTTAATAGCAAGCCGTTTATGAATGATAATATAAAATGAAAATAAAGGTACTTTGTCTCAAGGCTCCCTCTGTAAGGCAGCCTTAAGACATGTGATGGGAGGGTTGAGACAAAAATAAACACATACAATATTTATGAAATAAAGAACAGCTACCCATACTATATTTATAAAATAATCACTTCTAAAAAAATAAAAAACATTTTCATAATTACTAAAATTAAAATCAAACGTAAAATTGATCCTATCCGTTCCACTAAGGTAATCAGATTGCGCGGAAGTTTAATTACATCCTCGGAGCTAACTATTCCAATATCCCCCACTTCGGGATAACCAAACTAGCTTGATTTTTTTTCTCAGGAAACTGACCTCATGCTCATCACCCTCAGTTTTTAAAATACAACCAACAATGTTACTAAGATGTAGTCATCTGTAACCGACTTGTTTGAAAATGGTTCATCAAAAACTTCTTTAGCATCATCATCACTCACATCAGCTGTATCTAAATTAGAGTGGGAAGATGACATGTTAACTGATGATTCTGAAGATGGTAATGTATGACGTTAAATCCTGCGAACTAGATTAATTTTCTTAAAAATGCGGCTGTTCTTGTCTAATTTAGTTTTTTTTTAAATTCATTTTCTCTACTTCTTTGCTTTTACTACTTTTTTTCTTACATATCGTCGGTGTCAACACGTAAAGGCGTATCTCAAAATTGGACGAAATTGAGTTAGGACCGTATTTGATATCATAACTATAGGTCCCATGATGTGAAGAAGTGGCGTAACTAAATCTTATACCGTTCACATTAAAACCTAATGCTTTTACTGAGGCGTATCTTAAAAAGTTAAAAAAAAATTTTAACGTATGGGAGCATCTTAAGATACGCCTCAAAACTATAATTTTTTAACCGATTTTGGGGCGTATATTAACATACGCCCTATCGTATTTACTTCATGAAAAGGTAAATATGTTTATACAGGCGGATCTTTGCAGGTCTATGCTTGTATAATTTTGCTATTGGCCGTTTAAAACCGAAAGAAAAGTACAGTTCACCGTATGTACTTATCCAGAGCGGTTGTTCGTGTAACTTAATACGTTTGTTTTGTGTTCCAAAAAAATCTAAGTAAACATTGGTAAGTACGGCTTCGAAACTGAGAGTGGCACAGAGACGAATGGAACGGTCTATGCTGGGAGTGACGTTGAGGGACCGAATAAGAAACGAAGATCTGCGAAGAAGGACGAGTATTACTGATGTTGTGGAACGCATAGCGGAACTAAAATGGAACTGGGCAGGCCATGTAGCGAGAATGCACGATTCACGATGGACGAGCAAAATTACAAATTGGAGGCCAAGGGCAGACAAACGCAGTAGAGGAAGACCACCTACACGTTGGGCCGACGACATCAGGCGTATCACTAAAAATTGGCAACAAAGAGCACAAAATCGTGAGGAATGGAGGAGTTTAAGGGAGGCATATGTCCAGCAGTGGACGTGATAAATAGAGGCTGGATGATGATGATGATGATGACCTCTCTCGCTACTGTACTCCCAATACACCCACATACAAGAACAAACAAAAGACGATCTACACAAGATTACGCGAAAACAGAAACGCGGACTTTTTAATTTTCTAGGTACAGCCATCAAATACGTGACTGGAAATCCAGACGACTCTGACTTAGACTTATTAAAATCACACATAATCTCTTTAGAAAATAAACAAAACGAAATTATTAAAAAATTTAATAACCAAATATCTTATGGAAACTCTTTTAACACGAGATTCGATAAACTTTTAGAAAAACTAAATTCTGACAATTCAATTCTCATATCTGCACTTAACAAATTATCAGCTGATTTCGACAGCTATATCATTCTACACAATTCATTCTACACTAAACTTATTAGAACCATTACTTTATCTGAACTAAACATCTCTAATATGGAATTATTCACTTTAAAGGAAATAATAGACCTTAAAGAAAACCTCAAAATTTATCCCAGTAATTCAATCCCCAATAGTAATGAACACCCTTATGAACTTGTAGAGTCAACAAAAACTTTAGTTTGTGTAACTTCAAATACAATGCTCATAATAATTAAAATCCCTATACTCCATGAAATTCCTTACACTAGTTCGACAATGTAGATAATTGCACGAAAACTTTAATCACAGAGAACTTTTTCCAAGAGACCAGCAAAGTCATATTACTAGGAATAGTTCACCCGATGAGAATCCAGCAGATATAAATAAATTCAACCAGCCTCTTGACGACAGATGTACCAATAACGATTGAAGGCATCCAATTTAATAAAAAGACGTCACAAGACATTTCAATTCCCAAAATTGTTCCAATAAAATTAATACCAAACCATGAGACGAAAATTGAGAAATTAACAATCCCGGAGACACATGGTCAAATTCAACCACTAGATACCATAGACGTACTACCCCGATTATCAATAGGACTGAGCACCACTTCTGTTATAATATTTTTAACTATTTTAGCTTTCCTAATAATCTTCCTAGTTAGGAAAAGAAAACGAATTTCCAAAATCTTATTTGGAGAAAAATTGCATCCTGCCCAGATCCAGATACTGAACGAGCTGATAGCAGAAGTTTCCCGGACTTCGAGGACGAAGTCAATTCCAGAGGAGGAAGGAGAAATATCCTCAGCAATCCAAGTAGACCGATGACCCGGAAGCAGACACAGCATAACGGAATCAATAAATAGGCGCTACAAACACTTTTCAATGTTCTTTTTAATTTATAATTCAATTGTAAAACAAAGGTTCTTTTTAATTTGTAATTTGAATGTAAAACAAAAGTCTCATAATTTGTAAAATTATAATTTTTCAAATAAAACTTTTTTAAAAACATCAGTTGAAGTGCTCCCAACATTTCTATATACATTCTTCATTTTATAGGCCTTTTGTCATCTATAATTTCTGAGGCGCTTGTCCATTCTCTTAAAACTTAGCAATTCTCTTAGTTTTATCCAGTAGAATAGTAGAGTACTCGCATAGGACTTTATGAGCGTTCTCTTACATTTTCGTGAAAACGGAATTTACAATTTCAGGAGAGTGGCATGCGCTTTAAAGCAAAATTGTGAGAGAGACCTCCTACACGACCACTCACACAACTTGTTGAATAGGGCTCCAGTTGTCGATGTCGGCATCAGATATCTAAATATCGAATAACGGTTATGCAATGCGCAGAAATTAGAAAGTTTTTAAGCCCTTTATTTCAGTAGAGAGTTTTTAAGCCCCTTATTTCAGTAACGTTAAACGTTATACATTATTCTGCTCATGCGCATTAAGAGAAAAATAAAGGATTACTTTATTAGCGGATAAGGTATTCCCTTATTTAGGTAAAGATAAGGTTAACGTTATTAAGGGATTACGTGTTTGTAATGTTGTCAAATGCCAGATATCTAAATCATAAAAAACAAAAAAAAGTCATATGAGCAGAGAACCAAAGATAACTAGAATAAAAAATATAGTAATGATGTTTAAATTTCTAATCAAATCCGTTTTTGTTAAAAAGGGTCAGTTAATAAACAGATAATATAAACTGCTTGGCAACCCTGCTAGAAAATGACACTTGACTGAATTGTGTTGTTGTTAAACCTTAAACCTCGTGTCCTGATTGTTTTGTTTTTAATTTTAACGCTGAAGTATTCAGAAGTTTTAATAATGGAGTGTGAAAGCAAAAGTTCATTATATCCGAATATAAATATTTTAAAGAAGAGACAAAGATTTTAGGATCACGACAATTTAACTCTTTACAGAGAAGTTCTGGGACATAACCCCTTTGCCGATCAGAATGGGTGGAATATAATCCAAGAAAATGTATCTAGTGTTACTGGCAAACAATTTGGTATCTTTGGTAGAACGATTAATTAAATCATGGCTTCAAGAATATAAAATTTTACGTTACAAGTAAGTAGTATTTTATGAATTTGGTGAATGAATGAAATGCTAAAATTTGCATTTATTTTAATTATAGATCTGGCATAGAAGTCGTCGAAACAGAAAAAGATCTTTTGAGTCACAACATATTTGATCTTACGGAAGAATCAAAAGCCTCTAAGATTAAAAAATTTAAAACACAAAATTTGGAAAAACAAAAAGGTTTGGAAGCGAGAAACAAATGGACATTATTGCAAAGTCCAAATTCACACAAACAAGAAGCTTCTATAATTGATCATGATTATGGTAGTAAGTATAGTAATATTTATTCTATACATAAAAATATTTGCAAACATAATGAGTGCATTTAGAGGATGTCTACTGGTGTCACAGATACAAGAAGTGTTAATAAAAACAGCTGATATTCCCTGAATGTATCTAGTTATTGTATGACAAATAAATAAAATGTATTATTCAACTCAATCATTTTTATTTTTAGACATAACAAAAATTGTAGAAGAAACAATTGTATCTGATGCAGAGACAAATCAAATTAATTTGGAGTTTATCACCATGGAAGAGGACACATGTGAGTTATAAATTATAATTAGATACACCTGATGGATTACAAAATGAAAGTCCAAAAAAGAAAGATGTGAAAGAATTGCCTGGTCCCTCACAAGTTTCTAAAATAGCAGGTGAGTAAATTGATGTTTTGTTAGAAATTTAGAAGATTTATAAAAATCGTGATTAGTAAATGTAGAGATACATTTTTATTTAAATTTAAAAAATTTATGTAAAATAGGTTGGATGATTCAGAGCTACTACACTTATTTTTAAGATTATGGGTAATTTCTTTAATTTACCAACTAATTTTTTTAGGTCCCATAAGATCGAGAAAAAGGAAAATAAACAGCCAAAAACAAGGTTTAGAATATTTACACCAGTATGACATAAAACAATTTGAGTTGAAGAAAAAGAATTAGATACAGAAGAAAAAAAATTATTAGAAGACAGAAAATGTGAGATAGCCGAAAGGCAATGTGCAGTTCAAGAATTTGAAGCAAAGAAAAATATGAACTAGAAGAAAAAAATTATTATTAGAAGATAGAAAATGTAAGATAGCCGAAAGGCAATGTGCAGTTCAAGAATTTGAAGTGAAGAAAAAATATGAACTAGAAGAAAAAAAAATTAAATTGTAAAATTGAAAATAGAAAATCATTGAATCAAATTATAGAAAGGCAGGAAAAGCTTATAAATATTTTAATAAATAAATTGTCTTCATAAATGAAATTTGTTTTTTATTATAAAACATTTACACAAGTTATTTAATTAAAACATAATTACATTATTATACAATAAAACCTTGTAATTTATTGTGATGTTTATTTACAGACTTGCCATTTTATTTACAAATCAACTTAAATTTAGCTTAAACTATTAAAACATAATTTGATTACCTAAAAAGGTATTTTCGATCTTATTCTTAATAGTACTTAGTGATAAATGAAAAAAATTACTATTAAATTTATTTGCGTTTCTACACATTCTCAAAGATTGCAAAACAATTATTCAACTTCATTTACAAGTATTCTCAATTTAACAGCAAGAAATCTTTCAATAGAACTTTTTCTGTACGCTTTCTAATAAATCTTTGTAGCATTTATAATGAGGAGATCAAATATTGCTACCATATTCCAAAACCGATCTAATAAGGGAACAGTAAACATTTTTCACTAGACTCACGATTTAGTAACTTACTTTTCATTAAGTCTTTGTATGCTAAAATTACTTATTACTGCTAAGAATCTGTGCTTGTATTTCTTGACTGATTTTGTTGTCATTTATTATTGAGCCTAGGTAGGGAAAAGTGGAGGCATATTTGTAGATATGGTTGTCCACTTTCAGATTACATGAAGGCCAGCAAATCGACAGGCCAAAGAAACCTACAAAATCTGACAATAGGAGACTATAACATCGAAAACGTGAAAATTTTTACATATCTTGTAGCATTTTCAATTTCATTGATTCTTTGAAGTATATTGAAGTCCCCTCGTATACGAAATATTAAAATCACCTTATATATTTTTGATAGATCTAAAAATATTTCGTACGTATTTAAACCCAAATATCTTTTCATTTCTTTCTTAGGTCGGCCAAGTTGAAATAAACCATTTTAGAGTTGTTTATTTATTTTAACTTCCTCGGCAAATTCTTATTTTATAAGAAGCCGCAATTTTAATGCGTCGCAAAAGGATATGTACGTCGTTTCGTGGTGTCTTGTTATGTCAGCGTTTGTATGTATGCGTTCAATTTTAATAGAATTCCTTCACTCTCGTTGGAGCAGCTTTCAAGAGCGGTTCAGCGTTATGTCCAAATTCATGTCGAGTTTGTAAAATTTTCTGTTTTTTCGTTGATTGTGGTGGAAATGGGTAGCAGTAGTGATGGATTTTGTCCAGTATGAAGTGACCGGCATTAATTTGCCGGGAGTAGTGAAGTTTTCGCTCGATATTTCGAGATTTTTGAAAAGTCTGGTTCCTGTTGGAGTGTTCATGTTTTTTTTGAGAGTTCCCGTTTTCCCTGGTGTGTTCCGGCCCCCAATGGATGTCCTGTTCCTGTTTCGACCCCAAATGGATGTGTTTGCTGCTGATCTCCGGATGGATGCTACAGAGATATAACAAGTTCTTTTTGTGAAGTGGAAATATGTAAATCAAGGTAACTGTTTTTTGTGTTCAAATTTTAAACTAGAGACAGACAATTTTTTTATGAAATAATAATTGCTTTCGTTACATTTAAAATTGTAAATTTTTGGTTTTGAGTTGAGCTGTCAATGTATGTGTTTAGTTTTTTTGAAATTTAATGTTAATTTATGACAGCTCGTTTTATTATTTTTTGATTTTACTTTGTTTTGTTTAAAAAAAAAAGGTTAACCTCCATGCAATTTTGTAAGTTTTGTAGCAACAGAGTTTGTAAGCGGATGACACATCTAAGTTTTTGTGTTTTGTTTTTTCTCCATGTAACTGTTTGTGGTGACACATAAATAAATGTTAAATTTTGTTGTCTTAACATTTTATTTATTTTTTTGAGCTAACCCTTTTTGAGTTTATTTGAAAAAGATATGTTTTTTAGGTTTTGATTTTGTTTTCTAATTATTTCCCTAGTTACAACCAGTGGTTGTAATAGGCATAATTAGGCACCTCAAGTGGCGCCCTATATTAAATTCCTTGAGGTGTTTCTTGTTTATTTTTATTTTGTTTATCCCAAGAGCCCTTTATTTCATTTTTTTGTAGTTGCCCCATTCCAATGCCCTTATCTTTTACTTATCCACGACCCCAGCTCTCCTACGAAACCCTGAGTGCCGTTCGCATCAGTAGCGATTATTTTGCTTGCCCTATCTCCAACCCCAATAGTTTTTCCCCCAATTTTCTATCTCCCGTATTAATGCCCCCTGTGGTAGGCAAAATATTTATCGTTACAATCTAGGTTCACTAGTTACCACAGATAACAATTTCAGTGAAGAAGTTAAAAGAAGAATACATATCGCTAATAAAACATATAATGGACTAATTAAACATCTAAGATTTAACAACATCACAACAAAAACCAAATGCAAAATATACAAAACCCTGATAAAACCAGTCCTTATATCGCACCTCCAGATCTATAGAGGCAAAACTCAAAAATTCACCATTTTGAGTTAGGCCTTTATTTATACGTAGTTTTGAACGATCTTTTTAATGGTAATATCGTCCTGTTTCTAATCTTGTCCATTAATTTTATTTTTGAGTTATACCCCTATTTTTTCTATGCGTCATGTTAGACTTTTAAATTAATATAGAGGCACTTTTTTAGATGTGGCTTTTTAACCATATTTTATTGTTCCTTTGTACCGTAAACACAGGCACTTTGTGAGTTGTGCCCTTTGAAGTAATAGGTAAACAATTAAATTTTTAGTTGGGCCCGTATTACCACAAAGAAAGTTGATTAAAATATTATTTATATTTTAACATATTTATACCAAATTTATTTTATAATAATACCTGAAACAAAATTGAGAAGACTAAAGAAAAATACTGTTAAATCAGCTTAATTGCCCCAACGACATGATGAAGTTATTAGTAGAAAACGTAAGGCGTAATTTACAAAATATAACGTGGTCAGCTCCAAAAACTGCCTCAGCCTCAATTAAATATTTCTGCCGATCTTTTAACCATATAAATAATTAAGATAATGTAAATTTTACTTCCCGTGTTTCAGACATACTGTAGAAAAACAAACATTTACTTTTATTTTTATTCAGTTTTGGGAGTCAATTACCTTATGTATAAACTCCAATCTCAAACAAATAAACTTTGAAGAACGTACTTCAACTTTTACTTTGGAAAAACACACGTGTAAATGATTTATATTAAACGTTTTATAGCTTCGAGATCAAATGATAAAATAAAAAGAGGTTAATCTTTGTAAATGATAATCTTTGTAATGATAAAATGATTTGCTTTCCCGAAGTTATCGTCAATTGTGATCAGACTGAATGAAAATTAGGTTACGTTATTCAACAACTTTATTTTCGTATAGTGTGTTTCGCGTTAGTTAATGCAGAAGAATGGCTTTCACTTAACGGGGTAAAAAAATGCTTGATTTGTGTATAAATAATATACTCAGTGATAAAGATGATACTTTAGCACCATTGAATAAGGTACATACAAAATGTGAACAAACTGATCCTTTGAATAATGTAAGTAAAAAGTAAATGGCTTCTAAACAAATATAATACTAGATTTTAAGTAATTTTTTACCAAATAATTTTGTATTATTTATGCTTATTATAAAGTTATTTTATGCATTAGTGATTAGGGGTATGATCAATTAACCTAATTTTAGTAAAAAAGGTACCCTAATTCATTTAAAAAGTTAGCACAATTTGCTAATAATAACATAAAGTATTTCTAAAACATGTACCTATGCCTACCTTTTTATAGGATTCAATTTAGTTTGTTAGGTTAAGACAATACATTTGATTATACAAACTACACATTGTACAATGTTAATTTAACAGTTTATTGTATATTCTATTTGTTTTCATGACTAACAGAAGTTACGGTAAGTTATTTTGTACAGGTTAGCTTAGGCCTAGGTGAAACTATAATTAGGTAGTAAGTAATCAAATAAAAATTGGTTTCTTGTGAATTGTTTGTAGGTGGCATAAGTTTAGATATGGTTATGTTATACTAGGTTTATTCAGTTAGCCGGTACTGTCTAAATGTAGTACATTTTGATTTCAGGTAGAGAATTTACGAGAATATGGAACTGAAAAAACTTTCACTGTTTTAAATCCAGTTAAATTATTTGATGACTTTGTAACAGGAAATAGTCCTGATGGCTTGTCGCACATTCGCCAATGTGAAGTGTATGATAATGAATTTCAAAATAATATTGTAAGTATAACATATCTGGATAGTTTAAAATATCAATACTTATAAATTATTTAATCGTACATAGCCTTTTTAAATCAGTGCGCCTATAGCAAACCAAAGGCTTGGGGCCTAAGCGCTTCAATGCTGCGCACTTTTCGAGCCAGACTAACCATAACTATTCTGTTTCAAAACTCTCTCTTTTTTAACAAAACTGTACATCCGTGTAGGCAATAGCCTCCATTACAGTTAATAAAAATTTTTATATTTTTATTGCAGATATAAGTGACGATTCAGCCGCTGATGAAACATGGACTCCGATCAACCATAATAATGGTTGCAATGAGATTGAAAGCAGTGAAGAAGATATCCCTCTTTCTACTGCCCACATACTTAAAAGGCAAAAGATGGATGAAGGAAACCAAACTGAGACAAATGGTGATATACCAGGAAATGTACCTGTTATTGACAATGAAACATATGAGGATTTACATTCTCAAGGTAAGTTAATGAATTTGTCATTTAACAATTTCCAAACTGCATTCACTTGAATGAAAGTCATAGATTTGTAGCATTAGCTAAAGACATTAAAATCATATTTTTTTTGTTTAGACCAGAACAAGACAAGAAAACGAAAACGCAATACCAGACGCTGGAAGTCAGGACAAGCCAAAGAAAAGCGCAATTCTGGGATGTCATACACAAATGCTAAAGGAAATCAAGTAGCTAGTAGAAGTATTAAGCCACCTTATAATGAAGAAAAATGTAGATTAAAGTGTACTACTAAGGTTACCCACGATGATAAAAAAGATATTTTTAATAATTACTGGGGCATGTGTGATATTAATCGCCAAAGAGAATTTATTGTAAGGCATGTAACAATAATTGAGCCCAAGCATAGATATATAAGGGAGGGGAGCACTAGAAGTAATAATCATGCGTTTAATTTTAATACTAGTCAGGGATTGCAACGAGTCTGTAAAAATTTCTTTTTATCAACTCTTGATATCACTACTAAGGCATTTCGCACAGATATTGCCAAAATCCTATCTGTTGGAGTTCTTGAAAAGGATAAACGTGGGAAACATAAAAATCACCCAGTTATTCCTGCTGCTGTTGTACAAAAAATAAAAGACCACATCAATAGTTTTCCTCGCATTCCATCCCATTATTTGAGAGCTCAAACAGACAAGGAATACCTTGAAGGCTAACTTACAATAGCAGAAATGCATAGAATGTTTGTGCAACAATGTTAATGTACACATTAATACATATTACGGAGTGGTTGTTGGATTGGTAAGTTTTGTTTCGCAGGTCGCTCTGATAAAGATTTTCTGAATAGTAAGCATTGACTCTTATTTCCAGATATAATCAAGCATGGCTGTATTTGCTAATATCACACTGCCCAACATTAACGGCACCCTCGAGGCATGATTGGCTGTAGGCACCGACCCTGGCTTAGCAGAGGGGATAAGGCTGAGGGTCCTGACAGTCGGGGAGGTTGGAGCCGCTACCAGGAATGCAGCTGCTTGGGCATTCAATACATTCAAGACAAAGCCCACAGATGTCTTGAAATACTATGTGGCGGGGGCAGCAGTGGCTGTTAACTGCGCACTTGTCCGCAATGTGGAAATCTCCCCGGACGGTGATTGGATTGCTGATGGATCCGCTGTGGCAGTCACCCTGGACGATGCAGCCGTGTCGAGAATCTCGGGGTACCTGACCGTGGACACCATGCGCCAGGCCCTGTCCATAATGACACTAGTACTCAAAAAGTAACTTATGCTCTTTATGCTCATGTTTTAGTAATAATTTTAATATAGGATTCTTTAAACCAAAAAAGGATTTATGTGTAAACATTTAAAAATGCTAGTCCTGATGAACAAGAAGGACTAAAAATTGAACATGACAAACACCTAAGAAACAAAGAATTAGCTCGAAAGCAAAAACTACTTGATGCCGCTGAAGCAAAAAAAGGAAATTGTGTTTGTGCTTGTTTCGATTTGCAAGCTGTGATGCAAACACCACAGGGTGATGCTTCCCTATTTTAATATAAAAGAAAATTGTCCACTTTTAATTTCACTATTTATGAAATTGAAACCAGCCAAGATTTCTGTTTCGTCTGGCATGAAGGTGTTGTTAAGCGTGGTAGCAATGAAATTTTCTCATGCTTATTAATGTTTTTAAAAGATCACTGCCAAGACAAAGATGTTTATTTTACAGTGATAATTGTGTAGGACAAAACAAAAACAAGTACTTGGCCAGTTTGTATTTGTATGCAGTTCAGGAGTTAGGTATCAAAAGTATTACAAATAACGATTTGGAAGTAGGGCATACACAAACTGAAGGGGATATGATGCATGCCCTAATTGAAAAGCAAAAACAAAGGCAATTAAAATCTGGTACTATCTTTGTTCCTTCCCAGTGGGTTATGGTACTGCAAAATGCAAAGAAAACCGGCAGTCCATTTAAAATTACAGAAATAGTTACAGATGATGTAATTGATTTTAAAAGATTATCAAGGCAGATTGGCAGTAACTTTTCAAAAAATTTAGAAAATGTCAAAGTAACATGGAATTAAATAAAAGTAATGCATGTTAATAAGAATGAACCATTTATTTTACTGTACAAAACTGAATATGACGAGGAATCAAATTTTTCTCAGTTTTTAAAAATAAATTTTAGATCACGTAATCGTGGAAAATTAAGTAACTTGGTGCTTGAAAAAGCATTCTCCCATCCACCCTATATAACAAATGCAAAGAAAAATGATTTACTATCACTCTGCGAAGCAAATCTTATTACAAAGCCCTACCATAATTTTTATAAAAATTTGAATTCATCAGCGTATCTTAATGATTACGATGCAGATGATATTGAATGATGCAGTTGCATGTGATCTTAATTTCACAAAAGTTAATTATCTTTTTAAATATTACTAAAGTAATTTAAATTGTTGAAATACATAATATTTTAATAGTACAAATCCAATGATTACCAACTTTGTATTAAATGTATTTTCATTATTTATGTCAATAGAGTAATGAGAATAAGTTAGTAGAATAGAATTAAATAATTTTAGGCAGTAAGATTGTTTCTGATTCCAATTCAAGTATTATTGTATAATGAAATAAACATTTAATTGTTTTGTATTGTTTTATTAACAAACCTAAAGATTACCTATAGTGTCATATCCATTTTATTAATGGTAAAACAGGCACTTTTGGAGTTGAGATGCTTGAGATGTACATTTTTGAGTGGTAATATAGGTAATATACATAATATATAATGGTAATATATATATATAATAAATTAATGATACTGATGTAAAATACTGGTGAATAAAAATAGTTAGCTGTAGTAAAATTATTTGTATTTACATTATATGTGATTTCATAGCATAAGCTATTTTGTCTAAAACTTCAAACGTGATTTACTCAAAACTATACTTTTTGAGTTGTGCCCTTATAGATCTGGAGGTGTGAATATAGATTAGAGACATGAGCACTGTCGAAAAGCGATGAGAACCTATTAGGTACTTTTGAATGAAAAATCCTTAGACACATATAAGGGTGTGAAAGAAAATTACATATGGCGCAGAAGATATAATTTTGAACTATACACTGCATACAATGAACCCGTTGTCATAACATCCATACAGATTGGACATTTGAGCTGGATGAGCCATGTAGAATGGATGTTGAAGACTGAAACGCCAAAACATATAATGAGGCAAACACCAGTAGGGAGAAGGTCAAAGGGAAGACCCAAACTTAGATATGTGGACCAAGATGTAAAAACACTTAAAATTACCAACTGGAAAAACAAAGAACAGAACAAAATGGCGGAAAATCCTAGAACAAGTCAGGACCCAGAAAGGGTTGTCGAGCTACTGATGATGATATATTTATGGTCATTTATGTTTTTCCACTACTTGCACTAATCATCATTTATTGGTTCTAGATATTGTTCCAAAGTGGGTGATTGTATATTAAAAAACTGACCGGACTGACTACCATATAAGCAAGTATGGCAGTTTGTCAATATTGTTGCAGTTTTATACAGTAACTCAATATCTTGCAATAGTAATTTCTGGTTTTTTTTAAGTACAGAAATGCAAATTCTGCAATAACTTTCTGAAAACTCCACTCAACTGCTTGTCTTACAGTGGACATTGAGGAATTAAAGTTTTGTTGTAATTCAGTATTTTTGGAGGTATGTTAGTACTACACGGGGGTCTAGTGGGTAATGCAAATTCTGCAATAACTTTCTGAAAACTCCACTCAATTGCTTGTCTTACAGTGGACATTGAGGAATTAAAGTTTTGTTGTAATTCATTAACACCTTGTCCTAGATAAGGACACAATAATAGTTCCCGAACACCATAGGCCTGGTCTCCATATAGAACAAAAGTGCTGCCATCAGGAAATCTTGTCTTTTCTTCTAACTGATTGTAAAATCCTGATTCCCGAAGTATTCCAGCGTCGTGTCTTCTACCCATAAAAGCTCCATGCAAACTAACTGTCATGTCATCTGGACACACAACAGCTTGGTATTTCACACAATGAAAATGTTTGTGACCTGAATAATATGCTTCCTGATCTATTACAGGTCGGCATATGGGTCTTGCAGTGCCATCTATGAATCCCCAACAATTCTGTATAGCTCCTCCCTTATTGGCCACTGCCTACAATAAAAATGAAACTGTTATAGAAAAAAAGCACACCATAAAAAAATATTTAATACGAAGGTAAAAAGATTTACTTTTATGGGTAAGAAAAGTACATAGTTTTGCCATTCAATTAATAGTTATTTAATCAAATCTCATTTTGAAAGACTTTTACATTTTATAAAATCTAATATATCTGTGCATATTGTTGCAAACGGTCTCGAGTTAACTAATTTAACCTATTTAATTCTTCTAAAACATATCCAAAATTGTCATATATATGTTTACAAACAAAATTGCATATTTCCGACAAAGCTGATGGGGATTTTTGGAAAACATACTCCAAATCGCATAATCGATTAGGATATGCTAACCTACGGAGAAATATACAAATACCTTCAATTCCCAAAATAATAAAATTACTGTTAAAATGATTCTCAAACAAAATAAACTGAAAAAATTCATACAAGAAGCTATGAATATTATTTACCTGTTACTACATGGCCAGATTTGGTTCTAAAATTATTTGGAACAAGTAAATACTGAGCTAGTTAAGGAATATAATTTTTCTTAAATCGAAAGTTTAGTTTAGCATCTTTCTCTTTAATTGCTTTCAACACAAAATGTGGTCTTGGTGCAACAGGTATTACGGGATCAAAAATATTATGTAGAATTAAGCCTCTTATCAAATTGTGATCTATTACTTCTCCGTGTCTTCGTCGTCTTAATATATGTTCAATATTTTCTTCCACTATAGCAAATAATTCAAATAAAATAGGTTATAGAGTATAACGTGGTATAACCAAAGAATACAATAACTGCCGCTTTACGTTCGTCATATGTGAATTAACATTATTGTGTCTCTGTCATATCTTTCTAAAAGAATTCAAAAACTACTTTAAGTAAACTAAAAACGTTATCTCTTATTTATTATTCAAGGCGCATGACAAGTATAACGTTTTACGTTTAACGTCCATCAAAAAGTAAGGGGCTTAAAAACTCTCTATTACTGTTTCTCCAGTCCGTGTCAGTAACGGGTGGAGTTGGTCAGATAGTATCTATTCGATAGTTATCTCTCGAATACTTACTGTAACAAGACGTATTGTAATGTATAAAAAATTGAGGATTGCGAATATCTAGTTATTAATTTCTTAACCAATGAATGCCGTAGCTGTATAGGTGATTACATATAAAACCAAATAAAGAGATTTGTGTTAAAATCTTAAGCCCGGTTTATAAACGGACATAGTACATAATC